TTGGAGCCCTCGATCCTCCTTCAGATTGGCATGCCTCAATATTCGCACATTGCTTCAGATCGGTCAACAGGTAGCACTTGCCCGAACATTAGAGACCCTCTCGATCGATATCTGCTGCTTATCGGAGACCCGCCTGCAAGACTCGAGTTCTGTGCTCACTCTACGATCCCCTTCAGGTGACACTAGCAGCACTTTCTCATTGCGCCTATCCGGTGACGATGCAGCTTCGAGCACTGACCAAGTCACAGAAGAAACTCGGACACTGTAGTGCTAGCTGGGGATCTGAACGCTCAAGTTGGAAAATTATCCACACATGAGTTGCACCTTGGCGGCCAACATGGTATAGGCTCGCGTAATGATAACGGCGAGCGGTTACTTCATTTGTGTGAGGATTCTCGCTTATTTCTTGCGAGCGCTAATTTCAGACACAGCACCCGCCGGAGAGTGATTTGGCGCCCACCAGCCTCGAACCAGCTATGGACGCAAATTGATCACATTGCTATCAGTTACCGCTGGAGAGGCTGCATCCAGAACTGTCACTGGATTTGGAGCACATGTGTGGACACCGACCATGCACTTGTATGTGCTGACCTGCGGATGCGCATTGGCGGACGCACACGACGACGTTGTGACCGCATTGACACCGGCCAACTGGCGAAACCATATCTTCTGAATGGGTATCAAAGTACGCTGTCATGCGAGTTGGATAAACGCTCACTGGATGCAATTGAAGCTCACTGGTCTCATATTTACCAGATCTTACTAGCACCAGGAAAATCCTCATGTGGTAAGTCTATTCGCCAACATGGACATTGGGTCTGTTCACAGTCTCTGGAACTTATAAATGCTCGCCGTCATATTCCGGCTGGAAGCGAACACAATGAAACTCGCAAAGAGCTCCGGGCAAAACTCCGTGCTAGCCTGAAGAGAGACCGCGAATCCTGGTGGTCCCATCGTGCATCAGAGATGGAAATGGCCGCTGCCCTTGGTAACCGTCGTAAGTGATGTCGTCTGATACGGGACATGGGCAGCAGGAGACCTGGTGTTAGTGAAACTATACATGACGAGAGTGGACAGCCTATCCACAATTTGTCAAAACGTCTAGAGCGTTGGGCTGAACACTTTAAAAGGCAATTTAATCGGACGGAGTTGTTAGATTTCTCGCCGGCCAGTGATCGCCCTGCTCCGTGGGCTGTTCCTTTGGATCCACCCTCTCGCTCAGAATTCGAACGTGAGATCGAACTGTTGAAGTTAAATAAAGCCGCGGGACCAGATGATCTACCTCCAGCACTCTTCAAATTCGAGGGATGTGGATGATTTATAAGAGTTACCAGTCAAACTATGGGAGCAGGAAACTGTCCCAACCGACTGGAGCCGCTCCGTCAAAGTCTCAATTTTCAAGGGTGGCTCACGATCGGAGTGCCGCAATCATAAAGGAATCAGTCTGATCTCCATCGCCTCCAAATTGCTTGCCTCTATCATCCTTCACAGACTGACTGGCAATCGTGAAAGCCAGATTCGTGAAGAGCAAGCTGGATTTCGTCGAGATCGTAGCTGCATTGACCACTCTTCACCTTGCGTCCGTTGTTGGAGCACCGTCACATATATTGGCGGCCCGCCGTTGTCGTGTTCCTCGATATCAAATGTGCATTCGATTCGGTGGATAGACATGCACTTTGGGACTGTCTACTCAGGAAAGGTGTACCTGAGAAATATGTGAATATTATCCGAGCATTATACGCGCGTAGCACGGGCAGAGTGAGGGCTTACGGCAAGCTGTCGTCGCCCTTCAGTATCTCCATCGGTGTGAGACAAGAATGTTCGCTGTCACCTTTCCTCTTCAACTTCGCTGTTGAAGTCATGGAACGACTTAGAAGGTGTGGATCTGCTCCCAGGAGATCGACTTCTTGATTTGGAGTATGCTGATGATATTGCCCTAATCTGTAACAGCTCCCAGGCGTGCCAGGTTGCACTGGCTGTCATTCGCTTCGGGCTTTGCTTTGCACCACCGAAGTGCAAAGCGTTCCTCCAAGATTGGCCTGGACTGCCTCTTTCGATATCCCTTGGTGGGGATCAGCTAGAAGTCGTTCAAAAATTCAAATACCTTGGGTGTTGTACCAGCGCCCTTGGGATCGAAGACGAGATCACGAACCGTATAGCGAAAGCTCGAAGTGCTTTTGCTAACCTTCGCCACCTATGGCGGCGGCGCGACATTACACTCGCCCTGAAGGGTAGAGTGTACAATGCAGCGGTACGTTCGACCCTACTGTACGGTTGTGAAATCTGACCCCTTTAAGCAGCGGATCTGAAGAGGCTAGTTACGTTCGACTACCGGTGCCTTAGCAATTTAGCTCACATCTGGTGGGAACACCGCGTGAGCAACGAGTGTGTTTGACGCCTTGTTTACGGCCTAGGAAAAGGGAATGAACCGCTCAGCACCGTTATTTCCCGCACCAGGCTCCAATGGCTCGGCCACGTGTTGCACATGCCAGCCCACCGACTCTCGTGACGTGCGTCGTTTGCGCGCCGGGGGTGTGGATGGAAGGAGAGGAGAGGTGGCCAAGCGATGACTTGGTCCAGAGGAATGAAGGCCCTCGCTTCCAAACTGGCCTCGGTTGGAGCGTCTCGGCTCCCTGGGTGGGGTTACGAAAGACGATGAACACGTTTGGCTAGATACACTTGCTGACATGGCAAGGAGCCGACCTCAGTGGAGGTCGTGCTGTGAGTTTCTCTGTCCCACCCCATCCCTCTAAGTCTCCCCCTCCAACCACGATTTATATAATTTTGCATAGTAATTTTTTTATGCACATAGCCGGCGCGTAGCTTACCGGAACGATGCCCATCTGTTACCGGTAGCTCAGCTGGCTTGCACCAGTTGCATTTTTTCTTCTTTTTCTATGTATTGCGGCACAGTAGCTGAGGTGTTTCCCACCTGCAGCGAACGTGTACGATGATGATGACGCCCAGAGGTAGTCAATCGACAGTTGTTCACTGACTGTGATCCAAGCAGCATGAGTTCTGTGTTAGACGATCCATCGAGTGATCGGAGAGTCTGTGCCGAAGCACAACCTACACGGTATCAGTATCGGTGCTCCCGTGGCCCTGTCGGACGTGCGCACTGTAAGCTCCGGTGATGGAGTCGCTTAATGTTTTCAGTTTCTCAATACGCAGTCTCAGTGGCCTTTCTACTACTTTTACACATACCGATTTTCGCTTCTTCCTTACTAGTGATTAGGGTCGCATGAAGTCTCGCTGGTCTTTCTATCTCAACACTGTGGTTATCCACGTAAGTGGGATAACATCGTCCTCAAACAATCTTTTAATTTGTGGTAAATCGCCCTGAACGATAATCTTCCCTCTGCTACAATTAGGAAATTTCTTCTAACTAGCCTCGGAAATAAGCCCACTCAATTAAGCCATTTCGCAGTGCTCGCTCTGTCACCATGAACATTCGGCTTATTCGCTTATCTGCCCACCACTTCGGTTAATCTTTGTTGGCGACGTCCACATGCTGTCCACCGTACCATTATCTTCCGGTATTTGTTCATTTACGTCATTCACTATACTCATATTAGCGTCTTAAAAATCTTCGTCATTTGGGCTAAAATAGCTTTTGTGTGAAGAGCGAAATGTTGTCACAATAAAATACCCACAACAAACGATTTGGACTTCCAGTCGATTCTAAGCATATTCTGCGATATTGTCTTAGTCATCTATGTTTATACTCAATAGTTCCAAACAATAACTGGTGCAATTACCAAAGTTGCCGCTTGACCCGTTGCCGATTCATGTGGCCGCTGTCCCACGTCGTCCCTCTTTTACATCCTGGTGCTGCTGTTATTCTGTGCATCACTGTCTTAAATTGTATTTCGCATCTTTTTACTGATTAATGATGACCATTCCAAAGGTTCTCTCCTAGACGGTCTACATTTATAGCTTCGGCTTCGCTCTGCCTACTCTTACCACGAAGTAAAAACCGATACTTTTGTCACCAAGCAACTTAGCCGCATACTCTACTTGTTTTTGCATCCGTAATCATTCTTTTTCACTGTCTAGCTTGTTTGAGAGTCGATCTAAGAACCATCTCCGCTTTTATTTACCTCTAGGCCCTTATGCAGGTTGTTACTAATGTTCCGAGCAGTTTTGTTGCGTCGCCACCGACTGTTCACACCCCACGACCTCAATGAGAACATGGAAGACGGACCACGACAGACCTGTATACTCGAGAAATCTGCTTCGATTAACCATGCCACACTAATGGCAGTAGCAAAGCTACTGAAACACGTTGGAACCAACCAGAAACATAAGATGCATTGAATAACACAAACGAATAAAAATCGGTCGAAGTACGAACCAATCACGTGTGTCCGAAAACTGTACCCGCGAGAATGGACCCCAAGATGATATCCATTACGAACGACCCATGTTGGCTAATCAAATTTTAAAGAACTCCTGAGTTTAAACAAGTATCCATAAACAAGGGATTTCGTATTGAAAGGCGGTAATTAGGAATCGTCACCGAAAGTAAATGTTCAGTAGGTACCCTCCTAACAAATTTATTTTGTGGGGCTCAGTTGGTGTGTTTCACACATTCTAACAGTAACACCACAATTTCGCTTGGTTTACCATTGTATGGGGAGAGTAAGACAGTACACCTGTACCTCACACCGAATCATCACTGACCTTCGACTGATGGCGTTTGTTTACTGACTGGGATACCGCCGCCGGGACACCAAGACTTGCGTGTAACCCAAGACTCTAACCCGGTAAATAGAGACCGAAAACCGAGCACCTGAATCTGAACAGTATTGGAATTCTTTCTATCTTTTCATTTCAGATATATGTTCTACTTTTGTTGCAGCATTTGCCCTGCGCTTGGTACCAATCGTCTGTCCCTGTCATTGCTTACCATTAATCTACCTCGTAGCTCTTTGTGCCTCGTTTGGCCATTTAAACGCGATTCCTTACAATCTTTCTTTTCTACCTCTTTTTCTACTCAGCTTATGGTGCGGATGTTGTCTCATTCCATTCTGCATCGATTCTGTGAAAAATGTCACCCACATGTGTGCCGTCTGCCGTCGTCGAATCGGCCATTATGCCCCATTGTGATTCTTTGGAAGGCGATTTACGGACCAGCTCTGATCGTGCAGCTGTCTTCGATCCAGCACTATATGCATTCGCATTATTATATATTAGATTATACCTACGGTGCTATGATCTTTCATATATTAAATTTCGGATTCAACGTATCACGGCGTTTGATTCCATTATCCTACATTTCTTTGCCTGCGCTCTTCCTATCAACAATATATTCTACCCGGTGCGTTCGCTTAATTGATTCCCCCCACTGTGCTTTCTCTTTCTTCCATTAATAAAGTCCATTGATCAAGTTGGTTTCCTTCCTTCTTTGTTTGGTATCTTGCAACTGACTTAGACTGCGCTCCTGGCATTTCGTTTCTCGGTGAGGAACCTCCAAGTATGCGGCTCACTTGGCCACTGGAGCACGTAAGAATGGCACAACCGTTGCCCCCTTTTAACTACATGCAGTCTTGCCGCATGATTGGCATTCATCTGCCTCAATTGTAGCTACCGACTTGGAACAAATGGGTAGCTGATTTGCTGTGCTTTCGCTGATGGTGTCAATGGGAGATTTTTCTTCCCTCTTTCTAGGCCCGATTAGTACTCACTAATCATAGACATCTGCGGCGCTGTCAGAGCGTCTCATTTTTGTCATGGAGCAGGACCTACAGCGTGGTATGGAAGGAAGGCTAGCTCGACGTGTCGGCTTTCGGCCTTTGATGGCGGATGTTTGCGGTGGATAACTCGTGTATGGTGGGAGCGCCACATCTTCAGCGTCGCTGACGGATGTCGCACCTTAGGCAACACGGGTTTTCCTCACAATTGACGCACTTTAGTTAATCACATGTGCCATATGAGCGATTAACACTCCTCGTTGGCATTGCAAGAAGCCACATGATGATCATGGTGATAAAACGCAAAAGTGTTCCCTGCCTGCTTAGCTGTTCTCAGTACTTAAGATCCAACGTTGAAGCACACCACTGACTTGAAACACTTGAGGTTAGTGCGCCATTTGTTTAGCAATAGAAGAACAGCATAAGCTTATACTTCGATTTAACTGTTGAAAACCATAACCGTGAAATTGACCAGAAATGATGAAATGGCGCATGAAAAACAAGGTTTATTTTGTATCCTTTCTCCCACTTATGATCATTACTTCCATTTATTCTGACTTTTGCTGGCTCTATGTCTTGTAAACCGTCGCTTTTGTCATTATTTATGCTGTGTCCGTCCTACGATCACCTGCACGATTAACGGCTTAGACTTCCCAAATCTCTCCGTTCATCCAAAAGCGTTGTTGGTGACTTACATCGATCCTCCTCTAGCTATTCCGGCGTCACCACTCGAATGGCGTTTTCCGCAAAAAACTAGCATTACTGAACTTTACATAGAGCTTTCTAACTGCTGGAATATGTTTTTGGGTTTGTTGATGGTATTTGTTTCGTTGGATTATGAGCCGCTGCTCTGATTTCCCGTATACCGCCCAGCGTAAGCCAAATACCTTTTGGTGTCCAAGGCATAAATGGTTGCAAAATATGTTGCTGAGTTTTCTTCCCCAATCGTCTAACGAGGGTGTTTTGGGCGGAACCTACTTCAAACTCGCCCTTCAATCAAACTTCAGTCGAGGGTACCATTCTGTATCTCTGATTCTACTTCATCGCATCAGACGTGCTGCTTGTTCAACTTACATAAGCTCAGCTGATCCATCGAATAGTCTTCATATCCACCGCAATTGGAAATGGAACAAGTTCATTTCAGGTCCCTATTCACCCGTACACAGATTAGTAACGGGGTTATTCTGCTCGGAACGTAAGCGACGGGTGCTGGCTAGCACAGCGATATAGCACGAAATGTGGAACATACTCGTGCATCTGGAACTCCGTGTACTACCTACAGGGTAACGCACGAAATGTCATACCATTTATTTTGTTCATTACACATGTAATATTATAGATGTACTATTAACAACTCGTATTCGTATACCTTGCTTTCTGGAAAACTCGTTAAATGTCACGAGAAGTTTGTATGGAATCTTTTCTTGGCGCCAAACAATTTTCAAGGTGGCAGATTGAGTGTTGAACAGAAGGTGAAAGTTGTAATGTTTTTACAGAAACGAGTTTTGTAGTGCCACAAAGACGTCTTCGTGCACCTTATCTTTCGAAATGGCCTTCATGTAAACAGACTATTCAGATATTGTATCGTCAATTTGAAACAACTGTCCCGCGCCCTTGCAAACATGGAAGCAGTTCGCGTTGTTTTGGCACGAGGTCCTGGCAAATCAACAAGGAGAAATTGCCGCTATGTTAAGAATATGTCGTCGGCCCATACAAAGGATTCTGCATTCTGATATTCAAATATCCCCTTAAAGATAACATTTGTCCATAAATTAACAAAAGAGGACAAGCAACGAGGACGCGATTAATGCAAGAGGATCACATTCTGTGCAGCAGATGGTTTACTGATGAGTCGTATTTTCATTTAAATGGTGGTGAATAAGTAAAATGTTCGTTTATGCACAAGTGAACATCCCCACATTTTGTACGAAATGTAAAATTATGAAGAAAAGTCAGTGTATGGGAAGCAATTTCATCCCATGGAATCACCGGACTCTCGTTCTTTGAGGAGATGACGGTAAGCAAAGGTCGATATAGGGGTATGTTGGAAAATAGATTTATTCCAGAACTCTTGGCAACAGGTCTTCCGTTACAAACTCAATGGTTCATGCAAGACGGAGCACACCCACCCACTGCAAATGTTGTTGTTGATTGCCTGAGTGACATGTTTCATGAGCGCGTAATGTCACATCAGTTTCCTGAGCATCATCAAGATGGGCGACACTGGCCCCAGTATAGCCCTGACATCATTCCATGTGATTTCTTCTTGTGGGGCTGCTTGAAAGATAATGTTTTCGCAGGGAAACCTGCAAGTGCAGCACAACTCAGGGTTCTCATCATGCAAGTGTGCCGTTTGATTTCGGAAGACTTGCAAGAAGGTTGAGACAAATGTAAAGGTTCGCTTGCAAAAGGTTGTGAGACAAAATTGCGATCACATTGAACTAAATTTCCCCTCTCATACAATTACTTCTGCCCTAATTTGTAATATTTTAATGATAAATGCACGTGTAATAAGCAAAGCACATGGTATGACATTTCGTGTACTACCCTGTACCTTTGAAACACGTATGATCTCGAAATAATGTAATCCCTAAGGACCGCTTCCTCATCCCAGTTTATGTTGCTGGGACAACTTTCGAGGGCTTGGTTTAATTCTGACCTGAACCTTTTATATTAGCTTGCACACCTCCACTCCCCTGTATATGATATCCTTCTTTGGCTATCTTCGCTCCACCGTCTGGCGTTCAGCACCCAGATTTCATATTCTTTTTGCTCATTATGCTTCGATTCCCAAAATGGAACTTGTCACCCACATCTACGGTCCTCGGTCAACCTGCGTAGGCCATACTGTTTTCGCCCCTGATACATGTGACATCTTTGCAATGAACTCAGTATTTGTTTTGATTTGCTTCTCTCCACCACCATGCAACTAATCTACCTACTCAGTGCTTCTTGAAGTCGCTAATAACGCTCTCAGTTGGTTTCTATTCATTCTGCCGGTGGCTTGAAAAATTACAGAATTGGCTCGCAATCCGGAGGTCACTGGCTCCGATCCCCTTACGTTCGGGAACCATCGCGATAAGCTCAGTCCACTTGTTATTGGTGATACTCGCGGTGCCGTCGTACTACCGACACGTTTTTATTTCTTTTCCACTAGTTTCCATTTGTGCTGACATTCCATCCGTGCGCTCATTAAGTAATCTCTTCTCCTAAAAACGATGTCGACTCACTTGATCCGGATCTATCCATCTCACTCCGTTTTCTCAACTGTCCTTTTTTCCAGCGTTGCCTACTGTCCTGCACCTGATTCTCTGATGTGCTACCGAGAATTTGCCTTCTTCCATACCGTATCACAGACACTAATGTTAATAGTTAACCACCACCAGGCCTTGTGCTGTTTACCTACTCTTTTATATTTCTCACTCTTTAACTTCATGCAGCTTGCACCTGGTTTCCTCTTCCACTACACAGCAGTCACCTATAGCTATACCTCGGCGCTCTCTGACCCCACTTTTGTAGTCGTTGTTCCAACCTCCTTGGCGATCAATTCCTAAACTCAACTGTTAACCCGGCTTGCAACCCACATCGTCTAAACACGTGCTGCCTCACCAAACAACAAGATTAATATGATTTTCTAAAGCGATAGTTTTCGCGATGCTTATCTGAATACAAGTTTTTCATCTCTGCTACATCTATGCAGAGGAATTACTTGTACACTGGTTCCACCCAGTTGTAAGACCTGTCGTCCTTACGGACACAGGGGCACACTTCCAGCTTATACTTGAAGCTTTCGTCATTGGTTCGGAAGCAACCGGGCCATCATAAAACCCATGCTTTGTTTTAAGTGGGTGTTCGATTTGGAGCCGTTAAACCCTCCGTTTGGAAATCTTTTCTTGCATACCTCCGGGTCTTCTCATGCGCTTTGAACTTTTCTAGTGTTTTACTACGCACTGCTTTGGGACTGTTGGACCCAATTCCGCACTCCATATTCCTAAACACACGACAGACAGCACGATGACTTTGATCCCCATTTCACAATGTTTGTACTCAACTCCGATGACTGTCGTTTTCCTCTATTGCACTACATGGTTTCGACGTGCTATTTATCCATTCGCATCCGGTGCATTTTCATTGGGGCTAAGAAATACCAACTCGATCCGCATGGATCTATTCCAATAGTTTCCTTGCACATAGTTTGGACTGCCTTTATGACTTCTTGATTTGTTCGCTCAACAGTTATCAACAATCAGTAGAAAAATTCAGTAGTCCGCCAAGTGCGGCGGAACTCACCGTGAATATGTTGCTGCTTCTCTTTTCCTATCCACCAAGTCGTATGGTCTCGCTGGATAATCTGTCTGTTTGACCCACATTATCCTCTCTACAGTGATTGAATCCTCTGATCAGGTCTAGAAGATATTCGTGGCGTCTCAGTAACGTGCCCCGCACGAGCACCCAGGTTAGGTCTAAATGAAAGGGCCAATCAAATTGTGCAAGTCATGTTAACGAAAGGGCCCAAGTGTTCCCACCTTGATTCCATTGATGTGGACGAATTTCCGGATATTACGTGCCCCTAAAATTGTTAAGGTTACTCACTTTTTCAGTCTGCCAAGTGGGTTTATTTTCTTAGCATGTAAAGGGCTGTTCTCCGCTGTCAATCGTACTGCATCTCTCCTGGAGCTTAGCTGTTCGCGTCTTG